GACCAGGACCAGGAGTCAGTGTGTGACCAGGACCAGGAGTCAGTGTGTGACCAGGACCAGGAGTCAGTGTGTGACCAGGATCGCGGCTCAGTGTGTGACCAGGACCAGGAGTCAGTGTGTGACCAGAATTATGGTTCAGTTTGTGACGAGGACCAGGGCTCAGCGCATGATCAGGTTCAGGATTGTGTGACAGCTGGATCAGGGCGGAATGTTCAGGATGAGAGTTACTGTGTATCTGGAATCAGAGCTGAGTGTGAACAGGATCAAGGTGTAACTAGGGTCAGGGCTCAGTGTGTGACCAGGATCAGAGCTCAGAGTTTGACCGGGATTAAGGTTTAGAATATAACCAGGGCCAGAGCTCAATGTGAGACCAGAATTAGGCTTCAATGTATGACCAGAATCAGGGCTTAGTGTGTGAACAAGATCAAGGCTCAGTGTGTAACCCTAAGGTCAGAGGTTCAAGTCCAGAGGCACTCAGAAGAGATGCCCTTCTGGAAAGCCAGCTCTGAAAATCCCAAGGCGATCCTACTGAGACACACAGGACACCAGGAGTGTAGCTTTTTCTCTGGGGTTGATTCCTAACGTGGGGGTGGTCTCTCCCAGCCAGGAGAGAAGAGGGGAGGGACCAAGAAGGTGCCAAAGCCAGCACCACCCACAGCCTGTGCCTTTGGTCCTGCCCTCACACCGGGCTGCCTGGCTAGGGTCAGTGCAGGCATCACCAGCTGGACCTCCACCTCTTTCAGAAGCTCTCCCAGAACACACAAGCCTTGTAGGCAGTTCCCAGGGTGGTGTCGTCACCCACTGCCAGGTCACACATTGTTCCTCCATTCCTCACTGTCTACAGACCCCAGTCTGTCCAGTCACATGTCCACATGCATCTGGGGTCCAGAGGGAGTAAGCATGACTGAGGCAGACCTCCAAAAACCTGAGAAGTCACACTCCCCGTGCCCCCAAGACTGACACTTCAGACTGGACTAGAGGTGTCCCCACAGTCACAGCCTGCTGCCTGGGCCAGGTCCTGGAAGAAGAGACATCAGCCAGCGCCAGCACCGAGTCGAACGCTGAGGGGTCAGCAGGACTGGCCCGGGCTGTTTGTGAGCAGGGAGGACAGGGTGGTCATGCATGGGTTTCTCCTCATTCTTCTCTGGTTCCCCCTTTGTACAAAGGCTGGCATCATTTACAAATCCCACAGGTGGTAAGTCAACACCTCTCAAGCCAGAGGCCCTGTCTCCAGTAGAGTTCATCTTTTCACTTCTCAGCCCAGCCCCCAGCCACACCTCCAAACCTGGTGGGAACTGTCCCTGGGCCTGTCATGCAGGGACCACAAAGCCACAAGGCGTGGCCTGGACACTCCCACCCCTGGGAATCCCAATCTCCTTACTTCTGGTTGTGACACATTCATACTTTTGGGCCTTTGCACTGGCTGTTCCTTCTGCCAAGATGCTTTTCCCAGACATTGTGTGCTCAGCACTAGACTTGTTGGGCCCTACTCAAACACTACCTCCCAGAGAGGATTCTGTGACGGCATAGATAGCACACGCATACTGAAGCTTTTCTTTCTTTGTTACTGTCTTTCCTCACTTCAGGGGAATCCTGAGGGCCAGGACCTTATAGAGCAGTGCTCACTGGTACTCAGAAATCAGGTGATAGTTGAATAGACGGTAAATGCATGGATGGACGGATGGTGGGTGGATGGCTGGGGAGAGATGTGGAGGGATGGATGGCTGGATGGTGGATGGACTGATGAATGATATCTGGTAGTCTGACAGTTGATGATTGGAAGCTATATGGATGGTGGATGGATGGTGGGTGGTAGATTGACAATGGATGATGGATGGGAGGAGGGATGGATGGTAGCTGTATACTGATGGATGAATAGATGGGTGACAGACAGAAGGATGGATGGATGGTGGATAGATTAATAGATGAACAGACAGACGCATAGATGGATGGTGGGTGGATGGCAGATGGGTGGATTACTCCATGGGTGGTGAACGGTGGATGGATGGAGGAAGGATGAGATTGGATGGGGGTTAATGACAATCATCTCTTCCATATATGACTTCCATATATAACATATGACTGTCCATAAATTGACCCTGTGATCCCTTATTACGTCCCTGTCCCCCACGGCCCCGCCTCTGCTGAATGCCCAGCTCCCCAGCCCTCTTCCAGTGTCTGTCCTTTCCGGGCACAGCTCCCGCTCCTCTCCACACCTTCCCATCTCCAGGCTCCTGTTTGACCTGCGCCTTTGGCCTGGAGCCCCTCCCTCCCTGGCACGAATGTCCTCCTTCAGTGTCAGCTGCCCAAGGAAGCTCTCACAGACACTCTGGACATTACCCTCAGCTCAAAGGACTGGCTGTGTGGACCTCCAGTGCCTGAGGAGGCCTGAGGGGCTGGTGGCGCCAGGGCAGTGAGGGGTGACAATGACATCAGCTCCCTGTCCCCACCTTGATCGCACACACCACATTCCATGGGGCCTGTGGGGCAGAGACTGTCCTCAGCCCCTCGGAATCCTGACCCCACCTCTGAGTGGACAGACGGGGCCTTTGCCAATCTCTTCCTCTTTATGCTGAAGGACCTCGCCATTCATCCCTTTACCCTGCTCGGTTGAGGCAACAAGCCCGCAGCCCTGACCATCATCCTGACCCCTACTTTGGGCCCTTTGGGGACTGAGGACCTGTTCAGCTTGTCTGTACTGTACTGGCCAAAGGTCGATGTAGCAGCCACAGGCCCCAGGCACACCTTCCACAGGTCTACCTGGTCCTGACCATTTCCCCCTCTGCCCATCTGCCGGGGTCATTGTACCAGCTGTCCCTGACGTCAGGGGATCAGATGGGGCAGGCCCCCCAGCCCATCACTCCTCTCCTGCCCTAACTTTAAACATCTGAGGGCTGATGCCAGGCCACTGGGTTCCAGACATGGGTGAGGGAGGGCACATCAGAGCCCAGGTTCACAGAGAAGGCACTGAAAATCAAAGCCTGCGCCCCTCCCTCGGTGCCCCCTGCCTCCTGTCACCCAGTGCACTCACATGTCCGTTTCGTCCCACAGGATGCAGGTCTGGTTGGTGGTGCCCTGGAGAGAAGAGGGGACAGGGGTCAGCCTAGTGTGAGGGGAGCCCTGCCTACACCACGGAGAGCTTGAGCAAAACAAGCAGGGAGCCATGATGACCAGGCCACTCACATTGTGCATGTGTGCAAACTCAATCTCCAGGGGCGTGAGCAGGGAGCGAGGGGGTGGCTTCACGGTCACGGAGATGACCTTGGAGTTGAGGACAGTGGTGTTCCTGTGGATGGAGAAGGGGCAGAGTTTGTAATGGGTGCTGCCCTGCATCCCATGCGGGGTCCCATGCTCTGCCACCCAGCTCCTCCGTGCCCTCCCCACACCTGCCAGCTGGCACTTACCTCTGCAGAGCCAGGAAGCTTCCCAGGTTGCGATACAGCACAGTGCCCACCACGAACACGGACGAGTCATCTGTCTCTGGAGGGTAGGTGCTGTCAGTTCTCCCCCAGCACCCTCCCAGCCCTCCCAGTCCCACACCCACCAGGAGGGTCCGTGTCCTCTCCCTCGCTCAGCCTCAGTTTCCCTCCCTGTGGTGAAGTGGCCCTTTGCCCATTCAGTGAAGAGTCCCAGGGGCCTCCTAATGGGGCAAAGAGCACGGGGTTAGATTCTGCAGGGGCTCCCCAAAGACTATTCTAGGGGGCCTAGGAGAGCTGCCTGAGGAGGGAGCCGGACAACCTTGGGTACATGTACATGGCTCCAAGAAACCTTATCTAGCATCTCCCCCATGGCCAGAACCCCCATCTGCCTGGCCTCACCTCCACAGCCAGGGTCCGGACCTGCCAGCTGTCTTCCCACCTGATATCCAACCTCTAACGGCTGGAGCTCCACCTGCCATCCTCCCACAGCTGGAGCCCCACCCGCCACCCCCTATGACTGGAACCCCACCTGCCAGCCCCCTCCAACAGCTGGAGCCTCCCTGCCAGCCTCTTCGATGACCAGAGCCCCACCTGCCAGCCCCGTGGAGAAGACACTCTTAGACACAGTAACCCTGTCCTCAGGCACTTTGGCCCAGCCACCAGTGGCCCGCCAGCCCTTCATGGGGAAGCTGATGTCCATGGCCCTGCTGGCTGGAAGCTTATGGATGCTGAGGACTGTGGGAGAGGGGGAAGGACAGATAGACAGAAAGACAAAGAGACATGAGAAGCAGCTGGAGGGTCAGATGCAGGGATGGAGGAGAGCTTAAGGGTTCAGGGCTGGTGTTCCCTCCAAGACCAACAGCCTCAGCCCTCCAGGCTCTGCCAACCTTGACCCCTCCCACACACTAGTGTCTGGGCAGGCACGAACTGGAGATGTTGAGAACAGGACAGCATGGGCCAGCAGGCATAGACTGCGCCATCTGGTCCAAGTCACCCTCCTCCGAGAGCGGGATCTGATCTGGCCTCCAAGGCTCTTTCCCTACCCCAGTGTGAAGAGATTCATGACTCTGTTCATTGGCCTCCCACGCCTCCTGTGGGACTCTGTCCCAGCCTCCCCCCTACACCAGAACCTCTTTGCCACTCGGCCCCTGAAACACCAGCCCCCAGCTACCTCTACAGAGAGGACACCTGGCCACCTGTGGGGCTGGATTACTTGACACCCCACCTCCCAGCATCACCCTAGGGATGAGCCTCAGGACAAGAGGAAAGCCAGGCGTCCTTCCTGGAGGGGGCCTGCAGGGGTGGAGCTCAGGGAGGGCAAGCAGGGAGACAAAGGTCCTAGGGGCATGAGGTTGTCAGGGTGCTGTGCTCTGACAGGCAAGCCAAGGGAGTTTTAGGGGATGGGGTAGAGGGGCAGGAAAGGACAGGGCAGCAGGGGTGATGGGCAGGACAGGACAAAATGGGGGGCCCGAGGCCACCTGGATCCTTGGGCAGGGAAGCAAGGACTGCAGTTGAGCCTGCCAGGGACAGGCTGGACTTCTTAGATGGTCCTCTCTTCTAGGGGCCACATGTGCCTCATCTAGAAATGGCTGGGTCAGCCAAGCCAAAAAAGGGAAGGAATGGGAGCACCCCAAGACAATTGGGCTGACCCTGCCTCTGATGTGACCTCTGCATAGCCCTGTCACTTTCTGGGGCGAAGCCACCACAGCTGTGAGGAGGGTTCTGACCGGAGTTTGTAGGCAGAGAGGGGACAAGTGCCTGGTCCCCTCAGACTCTAAGAGTAGACTGTGATGGGGAGGAGTGAGTCTTTTCTCTCTGGGGACTTCGAAAGGGCTGGCTGTGGAGTGGGGTTCCTGGGTTTGACTCCTGGGGCCGAGGTTTCTTGGTCTCATTGAAGTCAGGGTCCGAGATGACCCCTGCTGACTCCCTCAGTGGACTCGGGGCTGACAGCATTAGACAGAGGGAATTGGCCTGAGAGAGGGACAGGGGTCCTGGGGGTTTCTGGTCTGTATCATTGGAAGATGAGGCAGGAAGGGCCCTGTCCAGGCCTGGTGGGGCAGTCAGTCAAGCAAGGGCAGGGGCTTACCCAGGTTGTCTGTCACCTGGTAGGCGTCTCGGAGGTCCTTCATGCGGAAGCCGATGACATCGACAAAGTCCTCCACCAGGCGGAACAGCTCCTTGGCGTTGGGGCCCACCTGGCGGGCAGGGTTATGGTCAGGGAAGCTGAGGTGGCACTTATCCTTCCTCTGCCTGTCTTGCCTCCTGACTGCCACCATTCCCTTCTCAGGTGTGTGGATCGCTGCCCACCCTGTGAACACTGATGTCTGACTTGTGTAGCAAGTGCTCCTACTGTTCACCCCATTCTGCAGATGAGAACATTGAGGCCAAGGGTCTGCTGTGTTCTGGCCCTTGGAGGCAGGTGGCTCTGAGTGGTGGAGGGCAGCTGCCAGCACCCTGCAGATGATGGTGGTCTCTGGTACTGCAGCACCCACCAGTGCCCTGGCCAGGACACAAGGTGGCCAGAGTGAGTCAGGCCTGACTGCTGTGCCAGATCAGAGGTTCGCCCTGTACTGGTCCCTCGGTGTGTACCCCGGGCCTGTCAGTCTCCCCAGCTCTCGGCAGTGCTGAGAGATATGCTATCATAGTCCAGGAAGGGGAAACTGGGGCTGGGGGGTTCGGGGGCTCCCTCGGGTCACACAGCGGGCTATGCAGAGGGTGTCGGGGGATGCCCTGCCCTGCCCCTGCCCCGACGCCTTGTGACCACGAGGCCCCAACTCTGTCCGCACCAGCTGGGCCTCCTCCCACTTGTCCCGATTCTCCTCCACAAGCAGGTTGCTGATGATCTGAACAAAGTTCTGAAAAAGAAGAGGAAGAGCTGGTGAGAGGCCCGGAAGATGCCCTGGTCAGGGGCTCAGCCATGACGATGACCAGGGTCCCATGTGCCAGGTCAAGGACACACTGTGTGACCAGGAGCTCAGCTTGTGACCACAGTGTGAGACCTGGACCCAGGCTCAGGCAGAGGTCCCGCTATGACAAAGTGCCACGTGGAGGGGCTGTTTGTAACAGAGATCAGGAACCGCTGTGTAACCAAGGGTGGTCACGTGATCAGCCCAGGGCCCAGGGTGTAACCAAGGGTGGTCACATGACCAGTTCAGGGCCCGTGTGTTGATCAGCTCAGGGCCCAGTACATGACAAATCAGGCTTCTGGTCATGACCAGATTTAGGGTTCAGTGTCTCGCCAAGTCAGGGCTCAGTGTGTGACCAGGAGTGGGACTTGGGATTGTTTTCAAGATGAGGGTTTGTAGTGTCTGACCAGGGTCAGGGGCCAGCATATGATCAGAATCAGGTTTCTAATTATGAGCAGGACCAAGGCTTAGTTTAGAAATGAGATTAGGGCTCAGTATATAACCGAGATCATTGTTGTTAGGTGTTGTTGAGTCACCTGCGACTCACAGCGATGCTGTGTACAGCAGCTCTGAAGCCTGCCCTGTCTTGTGCTGGTCTCACTGACTCCCACACACCTACACCCACTGCCCCAGTTACTATGTCAATGCAGCATCTTTAGGGGTCTGTATATAACCTAGGGTAGGACTCAGTGTACACCTGGGAAGAGGGCTCAGTGTACACCTGCGATTAGGACTCAGTATACACCTCAGATTAGGGCTCAGTGTACACTCCAGATTAGGGCTCAGTGTACACCTGGGATTAGGGGTCAGTATATACCCGAGATTAGGGCTCAGCATACACCTGAGATTGTTGGTTTGTTGTTGTGTACAGTAGAGTCGGAGCTGACCTACAGCTGACCCTCCAGCAGGTGTTCAGAGGCAGTTAATCGTACGGGAGGAGACTGCTCATCTTTCTCCCATGGAGCAGCTGGTGGCCTTGAACCCGTGTGCCTTCGGGATTGCAACACAGGCTCTTGTCTGTAGGCCAGCAGAACTCCATACCTGAGATTAGGGCTCAGTAGATATATAACTGAGATCGAGGTTCAGTGTGTGACCAGGGCGGAGTTTCTGCCTGTGAGCTGGGCTCGCATAATGGGGGCTCTGTGACTGGACCCAGCCTCAGTCAGACTCCCACCTGCACGTCCCCGGGGGTGGGGCTGTAGTAGGCCCTGCGGAAGATCTCTGTCATGTTCCTCAGGACATCGATGGTGGAGAGCAGGTCTCCGCTGTAGCTGGCCCCGTCCTGAGAGATCTCCACCAGCGTCTGGATGACCTCAGAGACGCCTTCCCCTGGAAGCCCGCGCTGAGCCTTTGCCAGGTGCTCCCGGGTCTGCGAGGGGGAGCAGGAGAGGATCAGTCCTGCTGGACACGCTGAGGCGGGGACCCCGCACCGAGAGGACCCTCTGCAACCAGAGCCCCTTATGTCTGTGGCGCACCCTGAGGGTCCCTGGTTGCTGACTGTGAGATAGGTGGGTGGACAGAGCATGGCCAGGGACACAAGCGTGGGACGCGGGCCCCTCACCATCATCTGGATGTTTCGGTAGTCAATGGAGACGCATCGGATGTAGGTGGGGGGCTCCCAGTAGGCGATGCCTTCCTCATCCAGCTCACAGCGTCGCAGGATGAGGCCTGGGGACAGGAGGAGGCCAGGTCAGCTTGCCCCCTTCTTCTCCTCACCGGCTCCCTCGGCACAAGTTCCTCTGGAAAGATGTCCCAGCCCCGAGAGGAGGGCCAGGCCAAGAAGGCCCGTGGACAGTGGCGCCACAGTGGTCAGGCCTCTTTTCCTTCAGTCCACATAGTTCTACAGTGCGGTTACAGAGTGGCTACAGCGAGCCTGGTGGGCCAGTGCTGAGGCCCCGGCAGGAGCTGACCCAAGGGGACCAGTTGCTGGAGCGCGGCCTGGGAGACCCTGTGGGGGCCCCACAGGTGCCAGGGGCCTTGTGGAGGCAGAGAGGTGGCTGCGGGCAGCTAGGGCGGCCAGGGCAACAGAACTGCGGGAGCTTCAGCCCAGGTGCAGCACGGCTCTGACCTCATGCCCAGAATCTGTGGGGCACTGAACACTCAATCTGCAGGGACAGCTACAGAATGAGGTCATAACCCTAGTGCCCAGTGGGCAGCTGGCATCCCTCCATAGCGGCTGAGTGGCCATGGCTGCTAGGGACAGAGTAGTGCCCATGATGGGACAGTGATCAGGTGATCATGGGTCCACCCACACCTGCCCTGACACATGGGCTCACCTGTGGCATTGCGGGGACACCTGACAGCAGCCACCTCCCCAGCAGGTGTCTCTTTCCACATCACGGCACCAAAGCTGTCCTCATCACAGATCTCGTGCGGCTCTGCCGAGGCCACCAATAGAGTGAGGGGTTTGGGGCTTTGGGACTGGCCATGAGGGGTCAAGGGCTGGAGGCAGCTCAGAAAGACCAGGGCAGGTTCTGAGCCCCTCCAGGGAGCTGTGGTCCCAGGAGGAGTTTATTGGAGCAGGGAAGCCTGGAGCACCTGGCATCATCCTGGAGGCGGGGGCTCAGTGTCCACCTCCCTCCACCACAGTGGGGACAGGCTGCTCACCAGGGCACCGCTGGGCGCTGCACTGCCGGTACTCTTCCTGTGGGCCCTGGCACGCTGCTCCTCCAAAGAAGGGCCCCGAGCAGACGCGTTCCCGGCGCTGTGTGCCGCCCCCGCACGTGATACTGCAGCTGCCCCAGGTGGCCCAGGCCTGCCACTTTCCATCCACTGCGAGGATCGCCAGGTGAGGTGTGGACAAGCAAGAGATGGGGCCCACAGCCAGCAGCCGCAGAGCCCAGAAAACAAGCACAGGGAGGGTCATTGAGACCACCCAGAGACAGAGGGACGTGGGTACCCCGAGAGGCCCAGAAGAGGCAGGGACATGGGACAGGGAGGGTGCCCAAATGCAGAAACCAAGAGCTGGACATGTGAAGACATGAGCTGGCCATGCATCCCCCCACCCCGCCCACTGGTGCCCACTGGCTTGAGACGCTCTGACCTGGACACTGCTGCAGGAAGCAGTCCCGCGTCTCCACCCAGTGGCCCTGGCACTCAGCGCCCCCATACGAAGGCCCGTTGCACTCCCGCGTGCGCTGCTGCCGGCCCTGGGAACAGCTGGCGGAGCAGGTGCTCCAGCTCGACCACTCATTCCAGTTTCCGTCCACTGCCCGGCCCAGGGGAGCAAGAGGGAGAGCCAGCGTGAACACCCTGGGTCAGGGAGCCCCCCCCACCGCCAGCCCGCAGACAGTGCCCACCATCAGGGGCATGTGGGAGCAGCCCCTCCCCAGGTGGCCAGCCTGGGACGGTGTGAACACCCTGGAGGGGCACCACATGGTCTTGCCTCCAGCTTCCTCCGGATACGGTCTGAGACTCTAGACGGGATGAGCCCCCAGAAGGAGGATTCGGGCCCCCTCCCCCTCCCTGCCCCTCCACTCCTCCCACAGCTGGTGGGTCTGGAGGCCCCCCTCCTCCCTCGCCCTCCCTCTCACCTACCAGGGCACAGGGCGATGTTGCAGAACTTGGTTTGCTTCTCAGGACCCTCACAGGGGTTTCCCCCGAACTGGGGGGGCCTGCAGGTGCGCGTGCGGTCCCGGAAACCGCGGCCACAAGTGCTGGAGCAGAGGCTCCAAGGTGACCACTCGTCCCAGGCTCCATGCACTACAGGGAGGGAGAAGGCAGTGGCTGCCCCAGCCGCCCTCCAGCCTGCTCACACCGCAGGCCTCCCGACCTGGCCCGGGTCCCGCCCCCACTCCCCGATGCCCCGCCCCTCGCTTGACCACACCCCTTCTCTCCGCCCTGCCTACCTGGCTCTGGCCTCTGCTCTGCTCTCTCCCGCCAGGCCCTGCCCTTTCCAGACACCGCCTCTCTATGGCCCTGCCCCTTCCACCTGACCGCGCCCCTTCCATACGACCACGCCCTTCATGGCCCTGCCCCTTCCGCCTGGCCACGCCCCATCCTGGCCTTGCCCTACCTGGCCATGCTCCACCGTCCGGCCCGCCCCTCCCGCACGGCCACGCCCCCTCCTGATCGTGCCTCTCGGCATGACCGCGCCCGGCTCTGCCCTCCCGCCCGGACGCCTACCTGGACACACGGCCGAGTTGTTGCACTGGCGCTGCTCGCGCAGGGGCCCGCTGCACTGGGTGCTGTAGGACGAGGACACGCAGAAGCGCGTGCGGGTTTGCCAGCCCTCGCCGCAGGTGCTAGAACACACGCTCCACGGGGACCACTCCTCAGCCGCCGGGTCGCCTGAGGGCCCAGGCCGGGTCACCGCCCGCCCTGCCGGACTGTCCAGCCAGACCGCCGGGGACACCCCCGCAGGTGCCCTAGAGGCTGGGCAGCCCTGCGGGGGCCTGTCCTGCTCCTGGGCCCCCTCGCACTTCTCACCCCGCACCGGACAGGTCAGTGTACCGCCCACTGTTAGCCTTTCTCTGGTCATTGCTCCCTCACTGTGGAGTCCTTCCGACTGGGGCGACCCCTCCCCGCGGGGCTTCCACGCACGGGACACCGCCCACCTTTCCCCACGGAGCCGGGGATTCGAACCGCCTCCTCTGGGCCAGCAGTGAAAGTGCCTGCAGCCTCGCGCCCGAGCTCCCGGACCATCAGCAGCGAGCCCTCGCTTTACGTCTGCACAAAGCCCTGCCCCCCAGACCCCTCTCCCCCTGGCCTCTCCCTGCAGGTGTCCTCCCCCAGCGCACCTGTCTGAGGCGCCGGGAACCCGAAATGCTGCAGCTCATCGCCCCCGTCGCGTCGCCGGGCGTCTGTGGACCGCAAGGACTGGCTCCTGGAGTTGGTGCGGGCCGCGGCTGCGGGGCGGAGAGGCCAGCGACCCCTCGGACGGCGTCCACTGCCCTGGGGCCGCGGTCCTTGGCCAGGCACGGTGAGCAACCCCGGGCGATGGCCGGCTGCCCGCCTCCGACCACATCCCAGCACCACCGAGGGTCCCCTCCCTCCTGGACCCCGTGCCCGTCACCACAGGTCCCCTTTCCATCTCTGACCACATGTCCAATCGCCCGAGTCCCCTCCTGCCTGCTCTGTCCCCGCCCTCTTCCCGACCCCGCCCCTCTTCACCCGGTCTCACCCCCATCTGGCCCCGCCCTCTTCTCACCTCCC